GGGGGGGAGCTAACGTAACAAGGAACTCACAGGCCACACGAAGGGATTCTCTGGTTTTGCTGTGGCTTCGCTTCGAACTTCCACGGCAGATTTTAAATTCCAGTGCCACACTATTGTTGGAACAGCAGGGGATACTCTACAGGCAAAGTAAAGCCTTCTGGGCACAGAGAACAATTCCAGGCGATGCTGTGGTGAATTGCTTTTTAATAACTCTCCTGTCCTGCCTGGAGGATAGAGCCCTGAGTTCTCTGGACTCCACGTGACGTTTCAGGGGTCTTTCCTTGAGCTCTACGAATCGACGCCACAGGAAAAGAAAAGCCTCTCACATCTCAGACATCTGCTTGCCTGGCAAACACCAACAAGAACACATGCATTGTTCCCCTGGAGCTGGCAGAAGGGATCTCAAGTCACACAGTTACAAAGAGAGCTCTCATTCAGATGCCAGGCATATAAGCTCAGCTATCCAGAAAGCTCAGCTTTAATGAAGACTGCAGTTTCAGAATGAAAGCCTGAGCGGGAAGGATTTCTGCCCCGGGAAATAAGACTATGAATCTCAATGCTCTGAATCACACAGAAGGCTGGGGACATTCGCCTAGTTCCAATGGTCAGCACCTGTCCCAGTCACAAGACCACCCTCGGGACAGCAAGGGTACTGAGATGCCGGGGGAGAGTCTAAAGAGAAGCCAGTCAGACACGGGGCTTTGGGCAACATCGAGGGTCTTCAGCAGAAGTTCCCTCTGTCCGAGTCCCCCCAAGATGACGCTGGAGCCTGGACGCAGCCACTGCCATTTGCAAGGATGGATCCTCAGGCAAATGGTGTGTAAATAGGTGAATGGTCTTAGAGGCGGTCTAAGGTGAGGGAACTGGGGCTCAGAGAGGTGAAGTGGTTGCCCGCAATCCAGCCTGAATTAGAGACAATCAGGACAAGAACCTGGGTCTCTTGGACCCTGGTCCCCTACCACGAGGTCAAGTAAGGGCACACTCCTATTCAGCCCTGTTTCACCTCTGACGGTACGTCACCGGGTTCCTCGCAAGCGTAAGGTGCCAAAGAGAGGTGCAAATACATTGACAACAAACCACTTCCTGCTTTCCTTCCGCTCTGGAATCACTGGTGCAAACTCACCGCAGGGAAGAGAAGAGCTTTTCCTGAAGTCTGTTTAACCTCCTTGTGACACAAGGTATCAAGGAGACTTGACGCCATTTTCCAGGTAATCTTAATTTGACCCGGATCAGTTGCGCACAAGGTGCCTTCTAACCCTTTAAGAGGCCGAGAGTACGGCAGAAATGCGGGTGCCTCCCGTCCGTGGTGTTTCATGTGTCGATGTGTTACCCCTGCAACAGGACTGGCTAGGTCCACGCAAGTTATATCTTTATTCTGATTTTAAGACATAATGTTCAAATGATGTCTGAACATTCGGCCTTGTTTCAAGCCAGACAGGACCTTCATCAGCAATGAATGGCTTCAGGAAGACACGCAAAGAAAGCTGCAGGAAGGAAAAGGCTGACCTACATATAAAATGCCGCTCCCTTGTCTATTAGGCAGGTTTGCATCTCCGTAAATTCAATGCCTCTGTGCTCTCATTCAGGGACAAACAAAAATTTTCCTGTAAGACCGCCACGGTCACATTCTCATTTCCATGCCTGAGAGCCTGAAGCCTGAACAAAGGACTTCAGTTGATCTCATGTGAGCCAAAATGGAATGTGAGTGCCATTCAGAGTCACACACAGAAAGATTTCAGCTGGGACAGGGCCCCCACGCTCCCCTGGGGTAAATTCCGGTCGTGTGGCGACCAAGGCCTGGCCCCAACCCCTGCCTCAACTCCATGGGGCCCCAGGGACTTCTGGTCCCCCTCCAGAACTGGTGTCTTTTCTCTTCCTGAATGGGGCGGGTACCTGGCCACTGCTTTGTCAGAACAGGTCAAGAGATGTGACCCAAGGCAAAGGCACCCCTTGCTTCCCGGGATGGTGATTCAGCCCCACTTAGATATTGCTTCGTTTACCTAATTTCACAAAAGGTCTTGAGAAACAAAGGGAGCAGTGGGAAACAGGACTGTGAATCTTCTAGGTTACAGCTGTGTGATAGGGTGGAGGGAAAAGCAAGAGGGGAGGGGCCCGCTTCCAAATTGAGGGGGTAGATGATAAAGTGCCGATCTGTGCTAAAAGAACACGGAAAGGAAATGCACGAGAAACGTAACGGTTGGGCGCAAAAGTCACAATGATGAATCTGGCGTGTGTCAGAAAGCACACCACCACAATGTGGAGACCACAGAAATCTCCCATCTTTTGAGACAGCGGCTGCTTTTGATGTTATTAATTAGGATGATCTGGTGATTGTCAGAAAACTTCAGGTTACAGACGTGACTGTCACAGCCACTTGGACCGACGCCCAGAAGACATCCACCTGCAACCCTGAGGGGCGTATCTAGGCCCTGGCTCCCTTCACCCCTGAAACATCCACACAGACCCGCTATTTATAATCCTGTCTGTCCTGGAGCAAAGGAGATGAAGCAGGGACATTAAAAAAAAAAAAAAAAAAAAAAAAAAAAAAAAAAAAAAGTATCCAGACAATTTCACTCACAGTTCCATTTAGTTCCAGATAGCAACTGCTGATTTTTCAAAGTGCAGGGTTTTCAGATATTCAAGTACCACAGGACTGGAGGAAAGGAGTACTTGAAACCTCGAATAACATTTTCATTTGAAAAGACACACTTTGGAAAGATCTCTCCAACAGACTGTAACTATAGGCTATTAAATTAAAAACCTGGTTTCAAAATAACACCCTTTTTGGTTGGGAAGATCTTTCTCCAAACTCAGATCCAGCTTTTGAACTATTCGGTATCAAAAGCCAGAACTAGAAAGACTTGGGTTAAAAAAGTAAAATGATAATCGAATGTTTAAAAAAAACCCCCAAAACGCCACTTTATACGAAAATGAGGGACAGGGAAAAAAAAAAAAAAAAAAAAAAAAAAGGCGAATGATGACATCTACAGGAGGCCTCCCTGAAAGGACGCTCTTTCAGACCTCAGTGAGCTGAGTTTGTCATGGATCTTTAGGACCGGCAGTGACCTCGGCAATCCACCTGGTTCAAGTCCCCTGTTTTACATGTGAAGAAACTGAAGTTCAAGGGACTTTTCCAGGGTCATACAGCCAGTAAAAAGCAGAGTCTGGCGTAGCCCAAACTTTACTCCCTGCCAGGCCCTCTTCTGAAACATCACGCTGTGATTACACAAGGCAGCTGCACGAGGACAGGCCTTGATCGATACTTTGGAGGCCCCTGGGAGCCAAGAGACGCGTCTACCTGTAAATTTCCGTAAAATGAGCTACGAGATGTTTCTAATTTAAAGGCCCCGCAGAACAGTGTTTCCCAAATTTGCCTGGTGGTGAGGATCACCAGGGGCACTGGCCAAAAATTAAAATCTCCAGACCCCTTCCCAGACCCACTGAATCGGCCTCTCCCAGGGGAGGGACCTGGGAGGCTGAATTTTCAACAAGTGCCCCAGGTAATTCTCATCATCGGCAAAAGTGTGGGAGACTGCCTTAGAAGACTGTAAGGGAGAAACCTGGCTCGTCACTCAAGAGAACTTTCTTGGCCACGTAAGAGGCCAGACTGCAGTGTGGGAGGCCCGGGCGCTTGGGCTCCCAAGCCAACCTGCATCGTCAGCATCGGCTTAGGTTGGCGAGCACTTTTCAGGCTCTACATAAGGACACACACAACCGCCGCAAAACAGCATACATCCTTCACTGCTCTGGGGGACAAGCCTTTCGATTGGCAAAGCAAAACTGCTGTTCAGACACATTTTTCATAGGGAAACTAGATGTAATTGGCTTAAGAGCAATCAAATGCCGAGACTGGGACAGGAGGGTGAGAATCCTGTCGCTAGTCACCGTGGAGAACAAGGCGGTGGAGAAAACCAGTAACTAAGCACAAAAATAGGCTGGAGCCCCCAGGGACTGGCGGCCTGCTCCAGCGCAGGTGCGCCTGGTGGGTGGTCCCCGCTGATGGTGTGAGGTCAGATCCAGGTCACTGAGGGAGGTGGGGGGTGGGGGGGGACCTGAAACAGCCGGTGATGGACGCGGGTTCCAGGGGAGGCAGCTGGAGCGCGCCGGAGTCCGGGAGGCCTCACTCCAGGTCGGCCTCCACCTGCTCCGTGTCAGAGCACTGAGACTTGTTCCGCTCCCACTGGCAGATGGCGTTGGCATACTCCACCACCAGCTTATCCATCCACGTCAGGGGCTCGGGGAACAGCACGGAACCCTCAAAGAAGCCCAGGTGGCCCCCGTGCAGAGGCAGCACAAACATGACGTTCTCCCGTTTCTCTGTGGGGAGAAGGCAGCTGAGTGAGTCACCGTCTGGCGGGCTCTAAGGCAGGATGTGCCAAAGGGCGCCGGCCAGGGTGGGCCCGGGCTTTCCCCACGGGTGAAGGTCACCAAGAGGATGTACTTGACTTCTCCTCACTCTGCCTCACTCACCAGAGTGGGAGGGAGATGAGGCGGGTGGCCAAGGCCGTGGGATCTAGCAGGTACTGGAACAGCTTGGCTTTGGGGCGGAATGGGCACCGGCTTAAGCAACACTTTGAAATCCAGAGGGTTCTCAGACTCGGGTGTATGTTAGAATCACCTGGGGTGACAGAGAGGGAGAGAGCACGCAGGCGCGGGTGCACGGGTCTCGCTAAAGCTCCCCAGGTGATTTGATTATACAGCCAGATGCTTCAAATCTGACCGTGCCTCCAAATCCGGGCTGTCACCTTACACCAGCCTTACACTTTCCACCTTAATACGCCAGGTGGAAAAGCTGACATACTGCATTTCTAACCAGCTCCCAGGTGACGCCGAAGCTACTGGTGGGGGCCAGGCTTTGAGGAGGGATTGACAGCATGTATGCTGTTATTTACTTCAGCAGAGTCAATGTTCTTTCATCACAGACTCTTCTCGTTTGAGACTAAAACAGAACTTAAAGCTGGCCATGCCCAGCGCCGCTAACCTGGAGCCTGACTTCAGGAGTCCTAGGAGAGGCCATTAGTGAAGATGGGCAAGACGGGCAGCCATGTGTGGCCAGGGACCACGGAAAAATGTCTGTCTTCCCAGGGGACCGACTGGCAGGGGCCCAGCTGCTCCAGGCCTTGGAGGCACCTCCTGGGGCGCACAGTTCTGGCTCTGCGGGACTCTCTTGCGGGGTGACCCTCCCTTCTGCTTCCTTTTCAGTTGCTATTTCACAGATTCTGCATGGCAGCATTAGAGCTACTGGTGTTTCTCTGGACACCGGAAGGAAACGGCACGACCGCTTTCTCTGCTGCACGCTGCTCACTGGGCTGTTTTTGTGCAGGGAGCCTACGGCTTGACACGGATTGAGGACGGGCGGCTTTATCACCTCACACACCTGTATCACACACAACATCCACTCCGAGCAGGGCACGGGGCTCCACCCACTGGTTTTTACTCCCCTGGCCTGGAGTTCGAGCCAGAAGGGCCCCTGCTCTGCTTAATATAGGATATTTACAAGAGAAACGTGGTCGCGGAGGGCTACAGAGAGCAGGAGAATGGGTCCCGGGGAGCTGAATTGCAGTGCAAGTGGTCTTGGGATTTCCAAGTGTTTCCTTCTGCTGCTACATGCTCGCTCGCTGGCTCTCTCTCGTTTCTCCCTCAGCCCCTCTCTAGCGTGGGGTGAGACCGACCCGGCCCGAAACAGCGGCATTCCCATGAGCTTTTCTTTGCTTTTTCAGTTGCTTATATTTTTATCCTCAAAGCAGATGGAGAGGCTGTCAGAAGAGGCAGCAGAATTGGCTTTTTTGTTCTGCTTTTCATGTCAGGTTTAAAAAAAATTTTTTTTAATGTTTATTTATTTTGAGACAGAGAGAGAGAGAGCAAGCATGAGCAGGGGAGGGGCAGAGAGAGAGGGAGACACAGAATCTGAAGCAGGCTCCAGGCTCTGAGCTGCCAGCACAGAGCCGGATGCGGGGGTCAAACCCGTGAACTGTGAGATCATGACCTGCGTTGAAGTCAGAAGCTTAACCGACTGAGCCACCCAGGTGCCCCTCGTGTCATGTTTAAGTTGAAATATCTCTTTAAATCAAACTCTCCAATTTAATGGAACCATAAACCCTGGAACAATAATTTCACAGAACACTGGGGAACTCCCCCAAACCCCTCTTGGCTATGGATATAAATGACGGTCGTCTCTGGCACCAAGAGAGAACACAAGGCTCTGCCCAGGGCTCATCACAGCTCCAGTACTATCAAGGCAGGCTGAACGAGAACCCCGCCACGGGATGTCCTTCCCCATAGAAGCTGACCTACAAGAGGTGACAGAGTTTGCCATGGCAATGTGCTGAATGGCCAAGGGAGCAGCAGAAAGGAACACTTACCTGAAAGAGATTTTGGAATGGTTAGGAGGCTTTCATGCACCAAGGGGTCATCAGCTGCGTTGACCAGCATGAGAGGCACATAAATCTGCAACAGGAAAATAAAGGAGAAATAAATGATCGATTCCCTTTCTTAGACCCCCCTCTCCCCCGGAATCAAGGCTCAAATTCAACTACCGGACATGCCTTTGAAGCAAAGGGAAGAGGGTTCCTGTTCAGTCCACTGCACGAGTGGATTAAGGCTGACTGTGTTCCCTGGCGGTGGCATGAACCGTAACTGCAATCTGATGGCGGCCTGGCAGGTGTCCTAGGGGACCCACGTGTTCTGATGGAGCCTGGGTAGGTGCTCAATGGGGCTCACCGGCAAAATCTTTCTGATGAGACTCCCAGTATTTCAGGTTAGCCCACCTTTCAGAAAAGTGACCCTACAGAGAGTTATGTACACATTCATTCCGTTTATACTGTGGGGAGGACAAATGGAGGGTGCTCCCTTCCAGACAAGGGAGATTTTCTAGGGGAATCTGAAGGGGAAAACCAAGAGTAGGCTGGTGGATATTGGGAAGCTCTTAGCGGGGTTGCGTTCAACATCCATTGTAGTAAAATAGCCTTTTTCATTTTAGGGGAGAAGGGCTGACGGGCACGCAGACGCTATGGACAGCCGCACCCGGGCAGCATAGAGACTGGCTGTGCCAACCTGGCGGTCTCGAACACTGGTCTAGACAGCTCAACGGTTCTGTAGCGGCTTCAACGAAGGCACCCAGAGCCTGGGGGATGATGCTAAACCAGGAGGGGTGGCCGATGTGACAGACGGCAGGACCGCAATTCACAATTACGTGCTTCAGCTGGGTGAGTAGGGGGGCCGAGCCACCAGGTGGACGTTGACAGGGCTAAATGGGAAGTCCTGCGCTTGAGGGAAAGGGACAATTGTACAAAGAATGAGGAGAGACTGGTTTGGTGGTGGTGCAGGTGAAAACACGGGCGCTGATGAGTGGCCACAAACTTAATTTAATCCACATAAAGTTTATGGCACCTGCCAGAAACTGCGTTAATAGAAACCTGCCCATCTTGCCAGCACACCTGTTCCTCATCGTTCTGATACAGAAATACATCTCTTTTCCTCTGGGCTCACCAGATCATGGCAGGAACTTGGAGGTTTAGTCCTCGTTGCCACACTAACAAAATGCACAATGGCCAAAAAAAAAAAAGGTCCAGAATTGTAAGAAATCTACACAGATCTATGAACGACCATGGCAGGAACCAGGCAAGATTACACTGTCAAAGGAGACTAAAAAAAAAAAAAAAAAAAAAAAAAAAAAAAAAAAAAAGGGCGTTGCAGTAATTTTAAGGGCTTTTACACGGACACAGGAGCAGACGGGTCCCGCTCTGCACCTAGGGGCAGCTCTGGGATTAATTTACGGAGGCCCCAGAGAGCCAGAGTTTGGTTCACAAACAAAGCCCAAGTCAACAGCTACCGGGGTTCGAGCCTCAGGAGGTTGGGGAGCATGCTTGTTGCACGGGGTGTGAAGCTGGGGGGAAGTGATGCTACTTCTGAGCTGCTGCTACCTCTGAGTCTGTGCTGTCACTCACCCTGTGCAGGTACCGCATGCAGCTCTCCTCCTCATAATATTCCTTCAGGGAGCTGTAGCCGTGGAACTTCCTGGGAAGGAGAGGACGAAGCCACATTCGTCACAAGGTCGGATGCAGAGTGGATTTTTTTACTGCTCCCATCCCACGCTGACACGTCACATCAGTTGACAATACAGATGCACCAGCGTTAGGGGTCAGGAGCTCTGGCTTTGGTATCTGGGCTCAAATCCTGACTCTGCCACTTACGGGCTCCATGACCTCAGGCAAACTCTTTAACCTCTCTGAGCTTCTCTGTAAAATGGAGCTAGGGACAGCACCTTCCTTAACGGCACTGAGATTTATGGCATTAAAGTGCACACCAGCACAGAAACTCAGTGTTATCTATAGTATTTATTAGCACAGGTTACACACTTCGAGTCAGTATAAAACCAGATGTCACCGCAGACTCTAGGAAAATGACATTCAAAGGCATTTATGAGAGCTTTTCTTTTCAACAAAATTCTTCCTGGCCTGAGTAACCCAGACCACTGTGAATTGGAATGCAATATGTATCAGGTAATGGGCATGAGACAGAGATTCAGTTACTGATTCCGTCCATCCACGGAGCAGTAGTCAGAGATAAATTGACATTTAACCAAACTTTTGATGTTCCAGAATGAAAGTCCTGTAGGTTTGCTGTGCCCTGTTCATCCTGGGGCTCTGACACCAACAGGCCGAGTCACCCTCAGGCCAGGGGATCTTTGGAAACCTCTTTCTGACACACATTAGGACTTCTGGTATCTGAATGGTGGTTTTGTTCTATCCTGACTGGCATCTTAAAGATATGCCTCCCCTGAAGATGTACATCTCCTCCACTGCCAGGCCCCATAGACATCTCTGCCTGGGAAGCCTCCAGAAAGTTCAGGCTGCACTGCCAGGGTCTACTCTGCAGGAAGTAGCTGAGCGCAGATATCACCTCTGGGCCACCTGTCTGCATGCAGTCAGTCCCTTTGTGGTCCCAGAGGGCCAGGAAAGCACTCCAGGCCTCCAGTATTACTGGTGACCTTCATGAAAACTGCTACGATCCAACACCATTCAAAAGGAAGAGCTTTAGGGAGAGTTGAACACCACTCCCTCTGGGGCTTAAAAAAATTCAGACGATCAATGGGGGAGTTTAAATGTTTGGTTTCTTTCTTGTTAGTACCACAATAAAGTAGCATTTCCCATCTTCAGTGAGAGTGGGTAGAATCCATTCTCAACTTCTGAACATACCAGTGATTTTCTAGTGTCTATTTCCTTTGCATAACCGTTAACAGGCTTATTTCAAGTTTGCTTGGTGTAAGAAAGCTACTAAAATCCTGTAAGGAAGATAAGCACCCTCAGGTCAATATCTGCCTATCTACTGGGTGAACAGTTAGCTTGCTTTAGATCATGCCTGAAGGTATCAAATAAAAATGATGTTGTTTTTAAAGAGAACGATGAGGCCAGAGACCAACGTTGCCTTTTCCAGCTAAGGCTAAGGTCAGTCAGAAACTATGGGTGCTAGGAAGGAAGACACTGTCAGGGTCTCAGCCTCAGGTACCTGAAGGGAGGGGGCAGGGAAGGATAAAGGACTGAAGTGGGCAGGGTTTGTGTATTACACTCAGGAGAGACTTCACTGCCCCAAAGAAAGAGGCTCTGTTTTCTTGCAATGCACAGCCCTCTTTGTCTATTTCTTGTTTTTTACTTTGGGTAGAGACATAGATAAGCACAAGAAACATTTCCTTCTCCTGCAAAAGCAAATTACATGGCACCTGATCCCTGCCCCAGGGTCAGAGCACGGCAGGTGGGGTAAGGGCTGTGGACAACTAGGGTGTGCACACCCCAGGTCCCCAGTTTTCAAGCCCAGTTACACCACACAAGAATGCAGAATGAGTGGTGAGACCTTCTTGTTTTCTAAGAGCAACTAGAAATTTGGATTTTTCTGTGCAGTCTTCAGTTTTTATTAAACACTAGACATTTATTCAAAGGAAAAAAAAAGACCTTAATGCTGAAGTGGGCAGAGGAAAAGCCCTTGAGCTGGGCAATGCCGGCCTGTAGCCCCCACGCCTGGCGCCCTGCCCCCTGAGCATGGACACACCTCATCACGTTGTCATCAATCTGCATCAGGGACGTGGCTGTGTAGAGGCGGCTCAAGTCAGTGTCCTCCAGGCTCTGGGGTTTCTTAACATGGTCTCCGAAAAGAGCTTGCCTAGAATGAGACACAACAGCAAACAGAACAAAAAGCAGATGATGAACCAAATCGTGTTGTACATTTGGAACACCTTACAATTTAATTTTTCAGCTCAATAAAGCTGAAAAAAACATGTAAAGGGCAGATGATAACCGTGAACAGAGCCTGCTTCCTTTCCCCAGGGGGTCAAGCCAGGAGACAGTATCTGACAGGGGATACAGGACACGTCGGAGAGACACCCCTTCAGCCCTCAGAATGTTCCAGAGGATGAGCTTGCAATGTTGATTTTTGAATAACTGCAGAAAGATGATTGCCAAGGTCTTGTTTTCCTTTTCAGAGGCAGCTAGACCAACTAAAGAGCGTGTTTGAGCCTAGGTGAGTACTGTCACCCTCGAACAATGCGGGGGTAGGGGCGCCAGCTTCCAGCGCAGTCAAAAATCCACACAGAACTTCTGACTCCCTGGACACTTAACTATTAATAGCTTACTGTTGACTGGAAGCCTTGCCAAGAACCTCAGACAAAAAAAACACATATTTTGTATGTTACATGTATTATGTACTGTATTCCTACAATAACATAAGCTAGGGAGAATAAAATGTTACAACAAAATCATAAGGAAGAAAAAATATATTTATAGTACTGGACTATAAGAAATCCACAAGGGGTGCTTGGGTGGCTCAGTCGATTGAGCGTCCGACTTCGGCTCTGGTCATGATCTCATGGTTGGTGAGTTCAAGCCCCGCATCGGGCTTGCTGCTGTCAGCGTGGCCCCCACTTTGGATCCTCTGTCCCCCCCCTCTCTGCCCCTCCCCTGCTTGTGCTCTCCCCTAAAGAAATAAATGCTTAAAAATAAATGAATAAAAAATCCACATGCAGGTGGACTTGTGCAGCTAACACCCGAATTGTTCAAGGATCATCTATATTACGAATCCTTCACTGAAGGGGAGGGGAGGTCTTCGGAAGGGATCTGTAGTGAGTGGTGGGCGGTCAGCCAAACAGTGGGGGGCGAGGGCTCACCTTTACACTGGTGTTGACACCACTCCCTTCTCTTTAGGAGCTGTTTCAGTCACTTAACAAGGAAGACATTGGAAAACCCATTTAGCGCTGGGGCAAATCAACTGCTCTCCAACGTGTTTGCTAAAAAGCTTACGTATACTCCGAAGAATAGTCATGTCTACTAAGAACAAGATCCATCTTGAGAAGATGATAATAAAGGTAGAGATCAAAACACACACACCTAGACCTTCATCCCCTGCAGGGTCTCAGGCACATAGCAGAAGGAGGGCTGAGTCTGCGGTCTGGCCCTCCACGTTCTGGTGTCTACTCGCTACCCCTCTCAAAGAGGAGCACATTTCTTTAACATCTTTCCCCCAAAAAGATTATGAGGAAGACTGTATACCTACAGTTTAGAATTCACAATTTATTATTATTATTTTTTAACATTTGTTTAGTATTATTAACATTTGTTTATTTTTTTGAAAGACAGAGACAGAGCACGAGTTGGGGAGAGATAGCGAGGGAGACACAGAATCCGAAGCAGGCTCCAGGCTCTGAGCCATCAGCACAGAACCCGACGCAGGGCTTCCACAAACTGTGAGATCATGACCTGAGTCCAAGTCAGATGCTTAACCGACTGAGCCATCCAGGCACCCCTAGCACTCACAGGTTAAAGTGCCCCTAAAATTTCTAAATGTTTGGGGGCGCCTGGGTGGCGCAGTCGGTTAAGCGTCCGACTTCAGCCAGGTCACGATCTCGCGGTCCGTGAGTTCGAGCCCCGCGTCGGGCTCTGGGCTGATGGCTCGGAGCCTGGAGCCTGTTTCCGATTCTGTGTCTCCCTCTCTCTCTGCCCCTCCCCCGTTCATGCTCTGTCTCTCTCTGTCCCAAAAATAAATAAACGTTGAAAAAAAAAAAATTTAAATTTCTAAATGTTTGGCTTTCTGCAGGAAATTGAAAAAAAATGTAAATACACCTAGAGCACATTCAAAGGGTTCCCTCAATTTGTTAAGAATTACACGATGGACCTTCTGGACTGATTAATTAGTGGCAAGACTGGGCCCTGTGGCCAAACAAACGTTCCCCGGGAGGAGTCCCCTCCCATTCTAGAAGTGTGGAAGGCAGACAGAGGACCTGCACTTGGTGTCAGAGGCTTGGCTTCACCCCTTCTGGAACGTCAGCAAATCCCCAGCCCCGTGTGAACCTCAGCTGAGCCACACCTGACTCATAGCTGAGACCCAAAGACCACCAGCTGAGTGAAAACAGTTTACATCCGGTCAGCCCAGGGGACAGAAGCCTCCTTTTGTACCTCCACACACCAGTCACAAGGGTCTAGCAGCTTGGCAGCCTGAGGGGCCTGTGAGCACCAGCCCTGCCCAGACTCCACGTGGATCCTGCCCAATCTGGGGCGCCTGGCTAGGGCAGGCCAGTACCGTATTTTCTTTTAACCACTGCGATCAGTCAATCGCCTTTCCTGGGATGGCATCAAAACCCCTCTAAAATTGCTCCGTTTGCGTCCCCGTGATGTGCCAGGCTCTGGAGGTGGGGTAGGTGGATCAAACCCAGCCCAGGCCCTCCAGTGCTTTACAGTTTAGTTCAAGACACAGGATTCACACCGGGGAAGCAACAGAAAAACAGTTTGGGGGTGAAGGAGTTGGCTTCACAGAGGAACACGGAGATGGACCTAAAGTATGGGTAGACGTGACAGGAAGGGCATTTTCGGCGAGGCCCCGGTGGCGTGGGAGAGGCCAGAGGGCGCGGGACCTCTAAGTGGCCCAGTCCGGCTAGAGGGAAGGCGGGTGCAGGGGAAGGGGGAGGGACGGTGTGACTATTAACAATCACGACGATAAAGCCATTGCCAATACCTACTGACCTGTCCCGCACGCTGGGCGCCACTCCAAGCGTGGTCAGGGGCGACCCCACCCAAGCACTGTGAGCAGGAGCGAGGCAAGACCGGCATGGGGAACACGCAGAGGCGTGCACGAGAGCAGCCTAAGGAGAAAGGTCCCCAGACCATGACAGGCCCCCTCGGGGTTGCTCTAGTTTGGGCAAGAATGGCGTAGAATGGTTCCTCGTGGGGAATCATGAAAGCAGAAAGCGAGTGGGCGAATTGGGTAGCTCGGGACCAGTATGCTTCTGAGCGAGTCACAAAGCGGTCGGCAGAGAATCTGCAGCAACCCTGCCTCTCTTGTCCTCCTGGAGAACCGCGAGTTCTGGCCTTCGTGACTCGGGAATGAGCTCAGAGGGGAACGGTCTCCTGACAGGGCACGGAAGGCGACGCACCTGTGCGAGAGGATGATCTTCTTCATGTTGTCCGCCATGAGGAAGTTGTAGAAGCGCCGGCACTGGTCCCACTGCATGAAGGTCTCCTGGGCCCTGAAAGAACCACGGGGGGGGGGAGTGAGAGACCGCGCCCTGGAAGACGCTCTGGAGGATGTGCTGCAGGGAGGCCTTGCAGGGACCCGCTAGCGGCACGCGCTGGGGCCCCGAGAAGGTGCTCACGGCACCTCTCCCTGGAGGAGGAGGGCACTGGCTCCCGCCCCAGAACACGGGTCTTTGCGGGGGGGTCTCCAGCTCTCCGTAGGGGAGCCGCAGGGCTGAATGCAAGGCCCCAGCGGGGAAGCTCACTGGGGGCACAGGCTTTGTGGGTGGCAGTCCCGACACCCCCTTGCGGCACAGTGGCCTTTCTCAGGACCTGCCAGTACTGGCATTTGAACACGTCCATTCGGCTTCCCACCTGGCCAGACGGTTTTTCTGGCTTAGTGAAGGAGTACGTAAGGGGTGTGGGGGTGGGGGTGTGGAGAGGCACAGTGCAGGGAAAAACTTAAAAGAACTTCTCGGTCGCTGTTTGAGAGGCAAAGGGAAAGCATACAAGGGTGGGCTTTCTATTGATTAGCCTTAGAATGTTTAAGGGGCAAGGAAACAGAAGAAGACGACGGGCGACCCACCCTCCCTGGGCGCGGCTGCTGCGGCTGGTTCTGAAGTCTTTTCCCCCCTCAAGCTACTGTGCACCGGCAGCATGACTAGGCCTACCTGACATGAGGGCCACCGCCTGAGCCCCAGCAGTAAAAGGCAGGCAGGTAGTATTATCCCCACTCTAGATTAGGAGACCACCACGCACTCAGGTCAAGGGAAAGTGCGGCCTTCTCTGCGCACCTGCGCAGATTTCCTTGGCCACACGACAGGTGAGCAAACACCAGTGTGCTAATTCCCACCGCCTGGCTCGGCCCTCCCTGCTCAGTGCTCTCTTCCCTGGGTGTGAACCCAAACATCACCGGGTCCATGCTAACTCCCACCTTGCAGACGTCTGGGTCTCGAGGCCTGCTTCCACTCTGCGGGTGAACCCGGGTGTCACCATTCCTACGCGGGGTCCATCGGTTTCCTATCCCAGATGGCCAAAGAGGGGACGGGGTGGTTCATAGGTTTTTTGTTTTTTAATCCAGAAGAGTTTATAAAAGTTATTTCCCCCCAAGGCTGCCACCCTTCAATTTTGGAACGGCAAACATTTCCCATAATACCGTGGTTAAAAAATAAGAGGTAGTGGGAGGTTAAAAGCAAAAGGGTTTGTGGCTTTAACGGTGTGTGACATGCTCATAAAACGTGGGCTGAAGTTCACATAAACCGTGGGAAAGCTAACACTGCCTTCAAAGGTCAAAAGGCCATTCTATAAACGCATTTGGGGGGCTCCCCAAATGCCGCAGACACAGAAAGGATAGGCCAGATCACTGTGGGTGGGACCCCGACTAAGGCAGGGATCTGGACACTTGCCTCTTGGTCTGAGCGAGGAGGAAGGAGGGAAGTCACCCAATCCATGAGCCAGAACCTGCTTCCTCCGCTGGCATCCCCTCCTCTGACCTTGGACCCAGGCTGCCCCCTCCTCAGAGAGCAGACAGTCTCATTATCCCAGCTTTCTCTTGCCTTTGTCCGTTTCTTCCTTTGCTGACTTCGTAACTGCTTTGGTTAGCACATCCTTCGTATTAGAGGGAATGCATAAGGCAGGAAGTGGGGAGGTGCTGAGCATAAACGTTAAGACCTGAACGACAGCACTGCGGAGGCTCTCTTGACTGAAGATCACAGGCACCACTCACTGAGAGGCTCTGGGGGACGCACACGGGCCCTGGGCTTGAGGAGGACAAGGAATAAGGATGCTGGAACCATTTCCCTCCATCAATGCTGGCTGACGCTGATTCCTAGCATCTCTGCTTTACTGCTCAGCATACACAGGGACTGTCTTTCACCACCTTTGTGTATAAAATTAAGGAACTGACACTTAATTTTATACTGGTTGAACAAAACATAATCAAGGGCAATGTGTTATAAATGCATTCATTCCATATATTTTTTAAAAGGCCTCATTTCTTCAATCCCAACAACAACAACATATGGAGGGAAATCCGAGAGGAGAACCTATAGACTAAAAGAAACTTACGAGACAGATCAACAAGTGCCATGCATAGGCATTACGTGGATCCTGATCAAACAAGCCAACTATTAAAAACCTTCTGTGAGATAATCAGGGAAATCTGAACGCTGAGTAGAAATGGGATATTAGGGAATCATTCATTTCTTGGCATGATAATGGTACTGTGGTTACATAAGAAAAAGTTCTTAAGAGTCTTTCAGTGCAAACTAGTATTTTCAGATGAAATGATATGATGCCTGGGATTTGCTTTAAAATAATCAGCTTCTGGGGTAGCAGGGTGTGCCTGAGCTGTGGAGGAACCAGAGTGGCTGTGAGCTAGGCATTGCTTAAGTGGGTGATGATGGGCACCCGGGAATTCAATATCTTACTCTTTTTACTTTATATGTGCCTAAAATTTTCCATCATAATGAAGGAGGAAGAAGAAAAAGAAAGAAAATAGACAATTATTTTAGATTATGAGCTACTGAAAATTATTTGCCCTGCTGAGGAGATCAAAGTTCAAAGAGATACAGAGAAAAGTTGAAGTTAGTCTTAAGCGGGTAACTGTGAGCCTCAACAATCCTTCTCAGGGACGGCAAAGAGACCGGTGGGTCGTGTGGAGCACAGCACAGTTCCCATTGAGGCCGAACTCCCATTTTGCTGCCCTGTTTTTGCAGCGAGAGGAGGCAGGAGGCAGGAGCAGGCTGGTGTGGCAGATGGGCCAGGGGCCTTGGGGCGGGCGGCGGCATGAAGGTCTCATGAGACGTCCAGGCCACCCGGCTGGTGAGAGTCGGAGCAGGGACCTGAATGCTGCCCATCCGACCCCACCACATAGGTCACCAGACTCTGCAAAACCACTTCACCTCACCAAGCCTCATCTGACAGATCAGGGGCTTGAATGAGAGGATCCATTTCATACTGATTGCTCTATGGCTGAGGTAGCTAGACAGCTTTATCACAGGCCCGACAGAGGACTTTAGTGGCGTTTCGCTGCTCCTGTTAATGGTGGATGTGGTGAGTGGAGAGCTGGCCAGCTGGTGGTGGTAAGGGGTCTGGATTCTGGCCCTGGCTGAGGAGACCTGGGGGGCGGGCAGGCTCCTGAGAAAGATGCGGCGTGTATCTCCTAAGGACGGGACAGACGTCTGCCTGGAAACCAAGGCGAATGGATCAGGAGGGAAGAGAACACTCAGCTGAAACCCTGACAACATGGCGGACTGACTGCCAGCAAATGGGGAAGGACAGGGAAGGACAGACTGTTGCGGTCTTGGGTAGTGACAGGCCCCCGGGTGGGCCACACACACAGGGTGAACGAAACTCAGAGGAGAGCAAGCAAGGTTTCACAGGCATCAGCAGGACTTGCTGACATGGGACCAGGACTGGAAGGAACCCTGTGGAGGCCCCTGGGTGGCTCTGAGGGAAACTTCCAGCAAGAGAAGCAGAAGAGTGCTCTCCACAAGAAAACACATTCCTGGGTTGAGCCCAAGGTCCAAGGTGGAAAAATATGAACAGAACATTTGGGTGGCATCTGGCAGATGTTGTTTGAAGCAAGACACAAATTGGGCACCAAAGACAGGGGACTTCGGCTCTCCAGACAATGAATGAACCCCTTTACTTGTCCAAACAGCAGAACCTCTGTGTTCTTCTTTTAAAAATATTTGTTATTTTTAAGAGGGAGAGAGGGAGAGAGAGAATCTCAAGCAGGTTCTGTGCTGTCAGTGCAGAGCCTGACACAGGGCTTGAACCTATGAACCATGAGACCATGACCTGAGCCGAAACCAAGAGTTGGGTGCTCAACTGACTGAGCCACCCTGGCGCCTCCAAACCTCCATGTTCTTGGCTTGTCTCTAGATGGCTACATTCTCTACGAGAGAGAGGGGACAGCAGGATGGGCTCCCTGGGCTGAGCCACCAGGAGAGTCTGGCCAACGAGGGCACAAGAGAGATGTGTCATAATGAACAGTCAGGAGAAGGCTCTGAATCCTCCAGGAAGGCAGGTTTCATCCACTTCAGAAAGAACCAGGATGACTCTGCCGGGGCTGATGCCTCCCGAGAGTCACAAAGCTATTCTGTCATCGAGACTGCAAATGAGAAGCAGAGTACCTCCCAAAGCAGCATGCTTCAACGGGACATGTGTGGATTTTGAAAGAACTTTATCCATCCATCTGTCTATCTACCTTTTATCAAAACAAAGTTCTTTTAAAATGCCTTTGTTTCTGATCACTGTAATGTTAAATAATAAGATATTTTCTGCACTGCTTTCCCAGTCACCTGCTGGTGAGCGGTTTCTATTGGAACAGTTATGAGAGTTTTAAAAGGTGTTGTGGGTGGGGTGCCTGCTCAGTCGGTTAAGCATCCGACGGCGGCTCAAGTCATGATCTCGTGGTTTGTGTGTTTGAGCCCCGCGTCCGGCTCTGGGCTGGCAGCTCAGAGCCTGGAGCCTGCTTTGGATTCTGTGTCTCCCTTTCTCTCTGTCCTTCCCTCCCTCATGTTCTCTATTCTCTGTCTCTCAAAAATAAGCAAACATTAAAAAAAATTAAAAAAATAAAAATAAAAGGTTGTGGAAGAAGACGGATTTTTAGATCACTTAGAAGAGGATCCAAAGGAAGCAGGCATCCACAGTCACGTTCAGGGCAATCCACCGGGGCAGGGAGGAGCAGAGCCAAGCACTTCACGCTGCTGGGGGGCTCTGCTCAGAGAAAGCTCAACCTCCCAACTCAGAGTTTGCAAAACGAGTGGACTAAGCACTGATTAAAAGGAACTGAAGTCGGAAGAGAATGAGCTGGGGGAAAGCACGCACCAAACACCCAAAGGAACTCAAGTCTCCCGGCTCAAGTAAATTATATCTCAGAGTGCTGAGACCCTGCGAGGGCGGCCAAACATCTTTTCTGTGGTCTTCGAGAAAACATGGAGGATGAGAATGAGACGCAGGTTCTGTGAACCTGGGCACGCGTGACCCTAACATTCCAAAAAGGGAC